CCCCCCCCAAGGCAACCATGAAAAAAGATTTGTCGTAAAGTATTTAGTAAGTTATTCAAGTTAAAAGTTCCCTGAGGTCCCAGACTCTGGATATACAGTGAGTCCTTACACTATGGCAGATACAAGAATATTATGAAAACTTGAGAAATATACCTGAGCAAGTAGAAACGATAACATTCCTGACCCGGCTAGCCAGCGTGGTGTATTATGGTCAAATACTGCAATATAATATCACCACTGAAATTGCGGAACAGAATTTGCGGCAAAATAATGGAGAGACCTTCATCCACCAGTGAATCGAAAGCAGATTATGATAATGATAATATCGGTGAAAAGAATGGTGCTAAACATGACTACGTCGTATACCAGGTTTTTCAGCTTAACAGAAACATAATGCAACTCTGATCATCAAGCACCGTATTTGAACTATCTAAAAATGGATAAACCCGTGGTTCTATACATAAGTTGCTTTTCCGGATTCACATAATCTCCTTGCTAATAAGGCTTAGAGGCAACTTTCAGCGGGATACGGTTCCAGAGTAATATATCACCTTTAGTGCACTTAATGAAACCTGAGTCATCGTATTTAACCGAGCACTAGTGTGCTCGAACACTAACGGAAACACCAACTGATACGCCTCGATCGGGTGGGGGGGGGCATGCAAGAAGAAATACTCTAATCATATAAACAGAAATGCCACGAAGTCATTGTTTGGCTTGCATAAAGACCTCATTATGCGCTAAAGGAGTCTGTATGATTACGCTGAACAAATCAGGCGAAGCGATTTATGTTTGTTATTATGTTATACGGCAAAATCAGAAACTAGCTTTTGCTGGTAAGCTCAGAATACCCTGGCAGATTCGCATTAATACGGATGGCAGCCCGGGATCTTTTCGTCTCAGATATCCTCTGTAATGTCTCCATAACAGCATGAAGATGTAATACCCAGTAAAAACAATATAAGAATGTAACAAACACAAGTAAAAAGACGTACGGTCATACGTTGGAGACCCTTGAAACCAAACTGCCGCTTCTTACGATTCAGAAGTCCCAGTTGAGGTAGGTTCGGCACGATTTACGAATACCAAAGCAGCGAAACACCCAGACTAAGGTCCAGAACAACTTGGGGCAAATGCATCGACAAACTCGATGCAAGACTTGGCGTATCTGTGACTACAGTCCTGATTCTGGAAGAATTGTTGGCGACACTGTTTGACACTGCTGCTCCACCAACTCCACCTTTCTGACAGGATAAACGGCTCATCTAAAGTATGTGTGAATTGTAATGCCGGAGGTAACTAACCAAGGGATCGATGCTGCAGGGTTCATTAACTGTTAATTATGATACTGTAAAGACATAAAGATTTTCACAGTGGGTAACAGGGACGTTATCATCTGTCCGTTTTCCATACCTGAAGAAGGTGAATAAGGGAAAACAAAACTGTCACTGAACCGCATTAATGTGACGCCAGCAAACCATACGGATCAACGCACTGAATATAGACCTTTTCGCTGACTTTAGGTGTGACACCCCCATTGTCGTTGCCATTAATCAGGTTTGGACCGAGTTTAGCGATACAGTAAAAACATAGCAAATGGCAAATAAGATTGGCAACGTTTCATGGCCGTGAGTTCTGACGTCCGGTTATAACTTCGATCCCAGTATTTTAGAAACTCGTACTTTGCTGGTCATATAGCGAAAACTTTGAGCTGCTGATTCTTACGGTTATCCTCATAGCTGAGGCTTGGAAGCAAGATGCACTTGAAACAGCAGTGTCACCGTGGAATGTTCTTGAAGAGGAGACAACAAAATACGTTCTCGTGCCTCGTCCAGCTACTGTTCATCACTCGAAAAAAATTTTGTCCGTTACAAATGCGGCACACTTATGACCATGGTTGATATATTTCACGCGCAGTCCTGCTCTGAGCAGAATGTACAGTTTCAAGTGTCCATTACACTAGCAACGAATACTGGTTTCGCACGTGTTTCGCGTCTTAAAGTGGGAAACCGTCACGTATGGCCAACGAGCGTGTTTATGAACAATAATCATCAATATTATTCGAATGTATTTCCACTATCACCAGCAAAGAAGGTAATTGGGACGAGCGAGTGGTGGTAGCCCTCCGGCCGGCCTCCTGGAGAATGTAGTTCAACACGTCGGCCGGATCACTCACCCTTAGGACTCAATCACGAGCGCGCATAACCTTGAAAATCGTTCATTTTTCACGAACCAGTTCGTCGTTGGCCGTCGCCCGTTTTTCTCTCTTCGCCACAGTCGTTCGTCTACAGTCGGTCGGCGGATCGGCCTGCGAATAGGCGACAGTGACACCTTTCCTGAAAGGAAATGTCGCATCGAGAACAGTCTGACTGGTTCAAGCTGAGTGTGCGGCGTCATCGATACGACGGACAACGACAGAGCGCCTGAGAAGTGGGTTCGAAAACGGTAGTCGAACCAGAAGACCCTTAGAACCGGTGGACACGAGCCAGGAGGCTGGTCGAACAAGAGACTGCACCTGTTCGGGGCGGTACTCAGAAAATGAGTTCGGCAATTCTTCATAGCGAACCATCTGCTGTGTTGCACAGCACGACTCCATGCACGTGTTGATCAACGCGAACGCTAACTACAGTCAACCTCTCTTAGCGACAGTTCCCGTATTTAAGACATCTAAGCAACGCAATCAAACGATTCGTGATTGGATGTGAGATAAAGACAGTACGAAAGTTGGCAAACGATTTATTAGGCTTATTACACAAAATTATATACCTTCTGCGAGGCAGTGGTTCAAAATCACGACTTTAAATAAATACTTTACTAAATAAATACACGTACTTTTATTTGCAGTTAATTTAAAACAAACTATCTGGTACGTGGCCAAGGTCCACTGTGGAGCAAGATTTACAACGACCTCAAAACTCAATGTGGCAATGCACCTTTAGGACAAACTAACCTGGTACGGTTACCTCCCCCAGTCCAGCATTTGGATGGCGAAGCTTATAGAAACCAGATTCACGGCTTGAATTCGAGGGCACAATGCTGTGCGTCCTGGTTGTTGGCGCATTCGAGTACGACTGTGGGAAAATAATTCGAAAAAAAAGATCACTGAAGGAAGAGGAAGATTATGGAAACCGCTAGAGCCGTTCTTAAGGCG